AGTGACATAATGAACCATAACACCGGCCACCGGTAGGTTCGAAAAAAAAACGGTTGCCGAGCAGGTTGCATTCGGATAAGTAAAAGCATGTCACTATGTGGATAAATCCATAAGATCAAGAATTTAAAGACAAACAGTCTGTTTGAGATTGAAGGCCGAAAGTTTAAGAGAAATTTGAAGACCTATCGCGTTGGATTTTAAAATCTCTAAAACGCGTATGATAGGACAATCCGTGATCATATCAATAGCCAAATTTCTACTAATGGCAAGGCGAGAACTAAACCAAATTAGCGTCGAAGACTGAAACAAACAGCCGAATTAGGTTCCAAAGACCAACAGCAAAATCAAGACGAGTTCAGAGATTAACTCGAAAACCACGGAATAAACAGGAAAAAGACTAAATACATTTAAGCGTTCTTGAAGGCGATTTTCCGTTTCTCAACCCGTATTATTAACTTGTTTCTAGGTGTCTAGATGAATCTAATCGACGTGTGTCTAAGTTAAAGTTATGTATCCTACACGCCACAATGAGACCATCTGAATGACGAAGAAACCAGTGCATGATTTGTTCGTGGGCGAAATACAACATGGCTTCCCATGTCGAAATAGGTGCATTTTCTGGAGGAATTCACAAATGAAATATTCGGCTAACCAAAGCCTAACCCACAATGCGTGAAATCCATACACCATTAGTGTTGGTGTTCAGTTCATTGAAGACATACTTCCTGTGGACGGGGTCAAACGTGCACAGTGCCGAATACACCTCGATGCCCAATCAAACCCTTGCCAGCACCAGGAAGATGTATTTATTGCGTACACCTCTTCTTGGTGGCTTTGGAATCAGTGGTTTTGGTGAAATTACAGTGGTTTACCGATCTGCTACAGCCCCGGATGATGACGTTTCATCTTCTCACTTTAAAGGTAAACCCCTCCGGTACGTATCCTCGGCAGAGGATACTTCAAAGTTTTATTATGGGAATAACTTACAAGCTCATGTTTTTCTCGTCCCATAGATTCGTGTTGTGATTTAAAAGACAGCGACACATACAATTCCTTGTGTGAATTGTCACATAATACGTGCTTCTTTCATTGCTGCACGCGGCTTTACTCAAGTTGGAATGAAAGGTATGCTAACGCCTCATCAAGTCTCAGTTTGAAAGATTCTATGCTTGCCGCACAGATGACGTGGGGCGGGAGAGAGTTCCAGATCGAACATACCTTGATTGCGAATGACTGACCCCGGCATTCCAATCAGCATTTTGAGACCACTAGTCCTCCGAGATGTTTAAGTGTTTCAGAATGATAATGCCCAGGTCCTTCTCACTTGAAGCGTGGCAGTTTTTTATTTCCGAGAAATACGGGAATCCCTCCTTATGTCGTAGAAATAGAACCTTATACTTTGGCACACTGAATTTAATATCATTCCAGAGTCCACAAGTGAGCTGCTTTCAGCGTTCCCTGGAATGCCAGCGTGCCCGCTGGTTGCGTCACTGTATTCCAAATTTTAGCGTCATCTGCAAAGTGTAATGATTTTCGCCCCAGAGCCTTCGGTAAGTCGTTTATGAATGTTAGGAAAAGTCGCGGGCCGAGCACAGATCCTTGTGGATCCCCGAGGGTAACGTCCATAGTACTAGAAAGCGAATCCAGACAAATAACGTCTACCACATCGCCATCAACTGCATTTGTCCATTCTTCTTGTGCGATGAGCAAGTTGATGGCGTAGGATCGCTTCTGTCGGAATCCATATTCAATCGGTAACAAAATTTTATGCCTCTAAGTGTTCCATCAGGAAATCTGCTACTATGGACTCCATGAACTGGACAACACTATTCGCTATCTGATATGCGAACATTTCCTGAGATTCGTAAGAAAAATGACCAGTTACAACCCGAGAAACTTACTCTTAATTATGCCGACTCAAGGTAATACAAGGATATCATCATGAGGGAAAACATGATGAAACTTAGAAATGTGTTGCAAAGTGATATCCCAAGAAACATCTAACCTCGACCTTCGAAGGCACGTTTCTAGCCCTTCCACACCCGAATGTTACCTGTAGGGCAACGAGGTGATTAGTCTTATTTGATGGTGAGACCGTGGAGTTCCACAAGATTATCCTATATCTTCATTCCGTTTAAACTTGGTCATTGAGGATGTTCTACAGAATGCTTTGTCGCGGCGAGCGATGTTTGCCGAGGCAGATAGTTGTTGGAAAAAGGTCAAGGACGGTCAAACGAAGACTTGACATGAGGGTATGAAAACCCTAACCAGGAGACTGGGTCGCATAGGTCCCGTTAGGCTCCCTGGCTCGGGACCCCAAGATGATGGTCACCGATGGTTAGAGACACTGAGTGATAGGGCTGGGGGTCACAAAAAGTGGCGCTCATTCATCTACTCATTATTCTTATAACATCAGTCTACATAAATTCGTTATCATCCTCCTGAATTTACACACAATTTAATCTTCATTCTGCTCTTTTATCCAGATGGGCAACCACAACCGGCGAACGAAAGTGCGTGGTTATTGGTCGTAAGAACTTCACTGAACTTCATCCCGTCTGACAAACCGTAGAGTCGAACTACTCCCAGGGATCAGATTACTTGACTTGGAGTATGTCGATGACATTTAATTGTTAGTTGACAACATACACACAGTCCGATACGCTTTAAACCGCTTGGCGATGGAGGTATTCAAGTATGGTATGTGCTTTGTGTCATTCAAATGCAAAATGCTTGTTCAAGATTGGCAGGAGCCTGTGCCTGCAATCACCCTCTGTGGTGATCATCTGGAAGTAGCTGAGAGCTTTAATTACCTCAGGAGCTTTATCGCAGCTGGTGGTGGTGTTGGGGAGGGGATCAAATCATGAATAGCGAAAACTAGAACAGTTTTTTCCAACCTGCGACACCTGTGACATCGCAATGACATTCAGCTGTCCGTTAAGGGGTGTACATCGTTACGATTCGCATTGTTCTGCTTTACGGTTGTGAACCCCTGGCCTCCGAATGGAAGCTACTAGTCAACTTTCTATAATCAACCACCGATGTCTCCAAAGCACTGTCCATGTCTGGTGGGAACGTCGGATGAGCAATGACGAGGTTCGTGGTCGTGCGTTGGGTGCGGACAGTCGTTCTCTCAAAGAAGTAATCGCTCTACACNGTCTCTGATGGTTTGGCCATGTTTTGTGTATGCCGGCCCATCGTCTACTAACAAACACACACACACAAATATCAAAAAGTATACCGTGAAGCGCACAAAAAATGTTGTCATTCTTGTTACCTATTGTTATCCATTGTAAATGTTTAAAATCAACTTCATTCTGTTCTGTATCCCAATTCCCCACCCCTGTTACTGTTATTATTGCTGTGGCGTTGGCGCCATTCTTGTCCGCAGGCCGGTGGTATACTTACTTATGCTGGTAGTTTCATACGAGTTAAACACTCCGGGTCGCCTGGACAACTATGTTCAACGGAAAGCACATTCGAACCTACCCATATTTTAGAATTATTGTGCGTTTTGAAGAGAGATCAATCACACCATTTCGATACGGCACACGTGTGAGAAACTATCAAAGAGATATCCTCGCGTTGGTAATAACAAAAATACTTGTCCCCAACGTCTTCGCAAATAAAAATGAGTGTGGGAAATCCGGTGAAGACGCATGAAGAAAACCATGGTCGCCAATAATGGAGCTATTGGGCAGTGCTTTTCAGTACAACCAGGTGATGGACTGGTAGATGGACGAAGTTGTGAAAACAATACCGAAAATGAGAACACTACGGACGCATCAACTCACGCGAAAACGAAAGAGAAGCAATGCGTGGCCGATGACTCAACGAAACTTTACTTGATCACAGGAGTAAATTAAATTTTAGACCTGCGGTTTGCGCAACAAAGAAAATACGCAAGAAACACCGGTCAAAAACATTTGCAGACCCGTTGTGTACTCGAAAGCTTTCAAAAAATCTGCACGAAAGTGACGTTGTGATGAAACAGCGTATCTTTGTATTTGTGATTGCGCAAGTGGGATGGGAGTAAACAGTCTACTAATTCATTTTACTTGTTTCACGCCTCCACGGGGCAGAGATAATAATGATCTGGGCAAAAGAAGAAAGTGTGAGCTAGGTACAAATGGTGATCACAAAGGTTATTTTTAAAGGTGCACGATAGAGATCACATTGGTAATGGATCAGCTACAAGAGCCACATAATGCTATCTGGCTCGCTACCTGGGCCGAGTTTTTGAATCCCACTAACCCGGTTCGTGCCACAAATTGGCAATAAACAGATCGTAGAACCGATTCAGACTTGACAGGAGTTGACTCGCGCGATTCCTAAAACAGAAGAAACAAAAACATGCGTGCCAGGTGAACGTGCAAAGTGCCACGGTTCAGGATACATGAAAGAGAAGAGAACCAGATCCGTGCAGATTTTGATGATTGGACGAGATCACCACAGCTCGTGATAAATGTGTTACCTTATAATTAAGAAGTTCAATAAATACGGTAATTTCTATTAGGTGGCTCCGTTGTCGTGTCTGATATATTGGGTCCGGGTGTGGTCCGTAATATTTTACGTATGCCCAACAGGGCTACACTAGCACTCAAACTGTTCAGAAAAGCTTGCAACTTACCTGGATCTTCACTTAACAGTACAGTGTCGTCTGCATACTCCAGATCAGGCAATCTAGCACCTGGAAGAAAATGGATGGCCCTATCCTCGCACGAGGAGAGAGGTAGCCCGGAGTATAGAGTGGTCGTGTGGATCGAACATCACTTTCAGATCGAAGAAGACAGAAATGGTGGATCTATAGAAGCAACTTCTGCGTTCTGGAATTTGGCAAAGAATGAAAATGTGGTTGATATAATCTCAAACAGGTCTAAAAACCAGTCTGATTCTCACGCGTGTACTGTCTACGTGCGGTAAACAATCAACGTACTAATGCCAGTAAGAAGTTTAGGAACAATTTTGATTAAACTGAATCCTCTGTGATTTTTACAACCGGATTTGTCGCTCTTCGTGCAAATTGGTAAGATAACCGATACACACCATTCTACTGCATAAAGCCCCGCTCCTGAATAGTCACGTGTGACATGTGGTTAGTCTTCTCCCCTTTCCCTTCGTAGTCGTATTCAACGGAAGGCCACTCATGGGGATCGATGATCCTTCTCTAACCTCTAATCTGCAATCGCTAGTCCATCATTAGACAGTTGCTTCACTGTCTCTTCTCTACCGTTACCACGTTCGTTTTCGTTCTTCGGTGCTTGCCTAGGCAGTTCCTCTTATTATCACTTTACCCGTCCATCCCGTGCACGAGGATCTAGTTAACCTTAACAGATTTCGGTCACCAGAGGTGGTACTTCTCTACTCCAACGACGCTTTAATCCATTCGGATTGTCGTTCAGTTAAATTCAACAAACAAAATGAGGTTTGTCGGAGCACACGATATGCAACTACAGCCCGAGTACAAAGCAAATATAATAAGCAAATGTGTATGCTGCTGATTTGGCATATTTCTTTCCCCGAGGGGGAATAATAGACCTAAAGCATGTTGTTAGCATGGCTGTTTCGATAGAGAGATGTCCAATTATTTTGTTACTTGATTTTAACTTTTGGAATCGTAAAACTGGAAACCCACTTTATGACTACACTCTGTTTTTGAATCTATGATCGCACAAAATAAATGAAGATGGCAGTGGATTTCTACACACTTAAGTACAACTTAATATATCTAATTTGCATATCTTGCCCTAAATGGGTACGCTAAACGTGCATAGTGATCGTGCGCTGCACAACCGTTAGAGGTAAAAGGTAGTAGAGGTGAAAGTAGCTTCACTGATGGAAGCCTGGCGGTTGTGTGTGGGTTGCCACTTCTATGCTTTTAGTGATTCGGTATGTTCAGTAAGCCATTTGTTGGTTATCGAAGAAAAAACCATGTATCCAAAGTCAATTTAGGCTTGTTAAAAAGCTCTCACATTGTATAGGAGGACAAACTGCAAGATGTCACGCATCTGACTAAATGGTTCAAGTATTGTTAAAACCAAATACCACTTAGCTACCTGCCTATTGTTTGCAAATAGTTCACGAGAAAACTATATGCCTGATCAAATATATACCGGTTCCTAATTTCGTCATGCAACCTGTTGAAAATCCACGGAAAATATTCAGATCAGGAAGTTTACCCAGTTGCAGAATTCGTACGTCGCTCTATACAGCTTTGGATCTCGTCTACTTTTTGAAGCACTAAACAACTATTTGTTCTCTTCGAAAGTTACCTCGAGTAATAAGTTGGATGTTTTAAACACGCAGGATATCAAACGGTTTGAGGCTAGCATGTTGTCAACGGACAGAACTGGCAGGATCGTTCAACGACGAAGAGAATTCTCATGACTCTTACCAATTTCGTCAGGAACATTCGATGAGGAAAGATATCTCACCCGGTTTGTGTGAACTCTAACTCAGCATTCAATTCCAGTGGTTCCGTTTCTATTCCCAGGTGAATTCCGCGGACAAGCACTCAGACAAGAATTGAAGAAGTGCGTACCTAAGCGTCCAGTGCATTCAGGTTACAAATGAAAGAGCGGAACAGATACAACGCTATTCAATTCACCTGCCTTGGCCTGGGCAACTTGGCAGTATTCAGCCTACATGCAAATAATGGAACGTCCTTCTTTTTATAAAGATTATTGTACCGCGATTGGTTTGGCACACGGTCTGAACTCTGACGTGCGTGAAATTATATACATATATATATATATACTCGTTACGATACAATCCATATTAATGTGTCGGACAGGGAGAAAACAGACGATTCCTGTTGCCGCTACAATAATGAATACATCACTCTTAACCGGTAAGTCTTTGAGATCTGGTTGCCTGTCACCGACTGATTGTAGGCTGCACAAAACACAAAGGAATACATTGTTCCGAAATCCTTTCTTTTGCTGCGAGTAGCACGATCGGTTCTCTCGCTTACNGAGCAAGGAGCAAGCAGCCACATTCACATTCCGGTTTACTTATGATGAATTCTAATGACTGAAATGCGAGTATGGTTTTTCCCGAGTACCTACAGATATGCCCCGAGATAATAGTCCTCCATGACTCGAACTCTTAAATCCCAATTTTCCGGTTTTTATAAGCAAACAGCAGGTCCCCATAGCTATAATCTGCAGCCTTTTCCTAGTTCATCACACAAAGACATGTAAGAAACATGATGATGAATACTGGGCGACCAAACTTCAGCCATGGATCAGTGGTTTAAATTGGTATAACTTTGGTTGTGAATGTTATAGTGTAAATAATACAGCGATTTCGGTAGAGAATTATATTCGCCGACGTTTCGGTTACCGTGGGTAACCTTTCTCAGACAACGAATCCTTCAGCCCATCACACACATACGATGAAATATCCGCTAACTTGTGATCCTTTCCTCTGAGTCATTTGATTGTAAAACCTGCCTTGAGAAACGTTACTCACAGTAACCGAAACGTCGACGAATATAATTCTCCACCGACATCGCTGTGTTATTAACACTAAAACATTCACAATAAAACAACACATGGCGCATCGATTTTTCGATACAGTCCTAACATCATTTGGTCCTGATGTGTTAAAAATGGTATATCTTTTCTTATCTGTTTAGGGACTTCACTAGTATTTACAACTCCTACGTTAAGTTCAACAGACAGACGTGGACAATGCCGTAGAAGTTGAGTAGAAGAGCTACAAAGCATAAATCTACGACAATATTTTCTGAATAATCTGATTCAAATTTCATTGCTTGTAANGCTTGTAAAAATCAAACGTCAGCAACAGAACTGTAAGCTAAAATGGCAACTGATTTGTGCCACAAATGTTTACAGTCACAAAAGATGGTTGAATAGTGGACAAGAAGGGCTTGCACTAAAAATAGAATCCGTTCAATACCCTGCGTGATCGGTCAACCGACTATCTATCGATCAACTGAAACCGAAATTAGGCCACAACGATTGGAAATTCCGGCGGGTGAATTGCACCACCCATATGGACCACATGGGATTGCATGTGATACATGTTGGAGGAACGGATAGAAACGAAATTGTTCAAAATTATCACCACTTATGAGCAATTTTTAACCCTTGAAAATTGTACAGTAATTGGAATACGGTAACTTAGTTACACGCCTGCCGGTGGTTAGTTCTACGTACCTGAGGATTGGCTCCAAAGCAAAGCGAACCTTCCCAATTATCACATTTTAATTCCACGAGAAAGTACTCCAACGGAATCCAGGGGGAGGGGTGTTGAATTTGGACAGCGTCCACGGCAAAACCGGGGTGAGTCCCTTGTTCAAGCGAACGGGAGAATTCGAGTGGAGTACTACATCGTGCAGGCAGTGTACGACATCGCAATAGTGACTCGGATACCGTGGTGGAATTCGACCGTCACTACCCATCTCCCTCAGTCATTTCTGTATTCCCCATGCAACCTGACTGGATGAATATTATCTGTTTATTCTAATGTTCCATAAATAAAAAATAAACACGATATTTTTGTTTGTTAAGGCCTCAATGGGACAGAGTAGCAAGTAATCGCCTTTTAAGTAGAGCTTAGGTAAATAAAAATATCATGCTGATAAAATCATAGAATGATGAGCTGAATAATTAGTTAGTTAGACATTACTGTTAAGGAGACCATGGGACATTAATCAGAGAACCTTACCGCCGAACCGATCCAGTAGAACAAACGGCATTTGATATTCCCCGTACAATAGACATGAAGTTCGTCTATGTTCCAACGAGTATTCGAAATAGGAAGAGATATGCTGTATGACCCTGGGAATTTAAGGACGGCACATTAACCCGGACACATTCTTTTGGTCCTTATTTGTTGATCATGCCTAGGAAGAAGAGATATGTCGTACTGTACATCTTAAAAACAGCTCAGCTTGCTTACCTCATAAACCACAATCCCTATCGGTTTTGACTGGTGAGCCGTAAACCTTTTAGTGTAAGAAGAGAGGCTTCAAAAGGTAGTCCGTCCGTAGATGCGTCCCACAGTGATGAATACCTTGCTCCTGAGTATCACCAACAAATGAAAAGACTTGTGGCAAAAAAACATTCGCAACCTGTGAAGCGCTATATTTGACTCGTGTTGAATGGCTGTCAGATCCTAAATGAATCATTCAATACTTTGGCACGATAAGCGAAGTAAGTAGCGGTCACACAAATGAAAATTCTAGGTAGCCGGGAAAACAACGAAAAATAACATACTGTACGGGAAGGAAGAGGCTTACTTCAGTTTTTTCGCATCTGTAGTTATGGTTTCCAAGTGAACAATATCCTCATCCAATTGTTTCACTTCATCAACTAAGGACTCCGCGAACGTCTCCACTTGACCGGCGAGCTTTTTCTGCGCAACTTGTAGCTCACGCTTTACCTAGAAATTTAAAACAAACGAAAAAGGTGAGTCCGCATGCACCATCACCACCGTACAGCATCTCGGTTGGCATGTGCACAATCCAATCAATATCAGGGTCCGCACTGTACTACGCTCAAGGACAGAATGAGAAACACGTGACAGCTGACTAGTTGTACACCGATAAAAGGCTGCTGTAATAATACAATAATATGAGAGACACTGACACATGACAGGTATGCTCGCTTGGCATGGATTACAGAAAGCAAAACAAACATGTGATTGGACGGCAAAAAAGGTATTTGTGATCGTTGCCGAGTAGTGATGCAAGCAACTGAATTTAGAACACTGGAATGAGACTATGCCTATCGAAGAAAAGGATCGTGCAATGTCTCCGAAAGCTGGAAATACCAACTCATGAATCGATAGGGAGACAAAGATAACATCTTGCTGAACAGTAACGACATGTTACGGATATTTTACTCGCTGATGATAACGTTCAATTATGAAAACTGTTCGTGTAATACATGATACGAAAAGCACCAAAGAAAAAAGTTGTAGTTGAGTTTGATGGTAATATGCATACCCCTTATTTGAGCGAAACTCAGAGATTTCATAGTGTGATATGAGAAAACTTCTCCTGCCTCATCCTCCTTTCTCTAAAAATGAAAATAGAGCAAACAATCAGAGAACAACGGCATCTGCATGTCCCAGAATAGTTGGGGGTGTCCAGTTGTGACTGGTGACTCTTTCCTCACATTTCCATGTCTCGAGTAGTTTTACACACGAAATCCACGCAGCGGAGGTGTTTACCCATCTCAGTTAGGGGGATGAAAAGTCAACACACGGGCTATAGACGGGTCAGTGATCTACAGGCGGTCCACCCAAGAAGAGGCATACAAAGTACACACACTTCTCCTCGGCTCTGTCGGTGTTCACTAGCGTGATTGGGCACTGAGGTGTGTCGTAAACCTTGAACGTTTAATTCCTGTACAAACAGTGTATCGTCCGATGACCTGGACACAGGCTGCAACGTACTGTTTCTGGATACTGCCCGCTACCTTGTGAGCTAGACTGTGGCAGTGCGATAGGGCATTATTCCGGGCACGGGCAAATTATGGACCGATTTCTGTTCTAAAGATTATTTCACCGTGATTTTCTGGCGCAGCCTAGACGAAGACACGTGCGATATTATATACAAAGAGATCTATAGAAAATTGATTACCGAGAAAGAAGCATAAAACTGAAAAAAGTGAACGAGACCCTCGAACCAGTTAAGCCAAAATGATTGATGATAAACACAGCTACTGTATGCTTGCATGTTAGAGAAATTGGCTGGTGGTTTTTCCGGCAGTCCGAGTTCAATGCCTACCTAATGACAACAATCCTTTCGGTCGGAAAATCTGCAAACAAATAACTTACTTGGTGACGCGCGTTGGTGCTGGTTAAATCAACGATCAACCGCAGCTTGTGCGAAGCAAAATCTACGTATTGACGCTTGAAAGTTGCCTCCTTAGCCTTGTTAGTCCACGCTATTCGCTCGTAAAGATACAATCCGCCGTACAGTCCGGCTGCTAGACCCAGCACACGCCATCCAACCGCTTTGGAGACCTGGATGTACACAGGGTAAGGCGAAGAACCTGGTTTAGTTCAGTTCACAAGACGCTCGACAAAAATCAGCGATCAGCAATCAGTAAGACAATCGAAAAGCAGCACCTTGAAAAATTCGCAATGTCCATTTGGTTACAGGGAGGATTCGGGCACCAAATTTGCATAAAGACATGATTATGGATATCGAGGAGCGCTGAATATATCGACAATGTTTCTGAAGTACAACAAAACAACGGGTGTACACGAGCACTGCAATACACAACGTTCTTGTTCCAAGGATCGAACATTAAACGAAAATTATGTATCGAAAGCCCACTAGCCGTACTACAAACGTCCATATTCATCGTCTACCATAAATGCGTCGGAGATGGAAAACGAAGGCAGTAGATTTCCGAGTAGAGACACGCCAAGAGACAACATCCACTTTGATGCATTGTTTGGATAAACAGTTTGAACCAAGAGCCGATCGGTAATCTAACAAAGTTGATGTTAACTTCGAGCGTTTGATGCCAGTAATATTGATGTACAATAAATAATCTATATTTAAAATATCATTACTGAGATGTCTCTCCAAATAATTGCACATCTAAAATAACTCCGGTAAGACGCTGCATATCAACAGAACATTATTAGCAGACTGCGATCAAATAAACGTTGTATTTTTGTTGTAGATTTGAACAAAAAATGTGCGCCTGTATGATTTATTTTGGCTGCTTTTTAAGAAGATACCCTTTACCGATGACTTTGACACTGAGCGACAGGTGGAAGATGAGGTACAAATGCACTGCATGATCACAATACCCTGACTTCGTCCGCAACTAACTCGCACTGTGTCAGAAGTATTCGGAACAGAATAAAAACACGGCTCAAAATTTTCTTTTATTGAACTCCTCACGGTGAAAAGCCGTATCAAGGTTGAGCACCGCATGATAGCCGGTAACTCAAGCCCCGGGGCTGGAGTGGTGAAACACAGGGTCCCAGTGGGGTTGATGTCTTGCGATTTCATGAGCACTGGATTGTGAAATATCGTGACATATGGTAGATGTGTGCAAATGCTTAGCATCCGCACTTGGTACTCGTCCTTAAGTGAATTTTACACTATTTAACATCAATCTCACGATCCAGTTGTGCAATACCGTGTTGTCTGGCCACAGCACTAAAGCGGCTATGGGTCAAATACGAAATGAGCCTAACTGTGCCAAAACACGATACACGCAGGAAGGGACTAAACAGAAAACACACGCAAGACCTGATATAACTTACAATGCCAAAAACGATCACGGCTCCCACAGAATTTCGACTGAGCAAAGACGGGAATAGATCGATAGTCCATGTGGCCGAGTGAGTGAGAAGCGTACCGGATGATGCTCCATATGCGCACGAAGTACTCGGAAAGGACGACCATGCGTACTTTGTGGGAACGAGTAGACGAATAAACAGGCTTTTCAATTGTGCCAAACAAATACATAAACGGGCCAGCAACGCGGGAGCAAATTTTCGCGCAGGAATGAAGTGAAAAAGCAAAACCGAAAAAGTGGTGTGCATCACCTGTCCCACTATCTGTACACAGATAGCTGGACAAGGAAAGCTAACAGTTGATTGCAACCGTAAAACTGACATATGGGTTCGCACTGTGGTACAAACTTCAGTGGTACAGTAGTCCGCTGCACACATGACACAGTGGAATGAAATCACGAATTGAACAATTACTTCAGCTTTAAGTGCGCACGCCTTGGCGGCACCATCACTAGATGCACATGCAGCGTGGCAGAAAAACTGTGAAAACGAAGCGATTACACTTCAGTTGTAACAATGACAAAAATAGTAGTATGTTCAAACTTGATAAATTAATGATACGGCAGACACTGAATCATTAATTTGGTGACAGGAAGGGTGGGGATCGAAACGGAACCGAATAATCTTTATGTTTGTGCCATAAAGCAATTGAAAATAGGAGCGAAATTATACGAACGATGAAGATAACTGCTGTTTAATGTCCTTTTACTTCCCGTTTTGTTTATTGAATATACAAATGTACAGACAACTTGCAGGAACGAGACCGAGGCAATACAGAGGCTGCCTGGGGGAAATACAGAAGTGGAGGAAACCGGCAGCGTTTGACGCAGTTCGAACCCGGGGACCNGGCCCCCCCCCCCCCCCCCCGAGTCATAATTTGGTGACCTAACCACTTGGCCATCACGCCCTGCTTGAATGATCAGCACCCAAAGGAGATCAGAAAACTACCGCATTTTTTGGAGAGGCAAAATGGAGTGGGTAAATACTTTACTCCGTGGTTTGGGACGTTTTAATCAAAATCCAGCACATAAGCGATAGGTCTGTAGGACAATTGGTCACAGATTCAATTAAGTGCTGAAGATAATGCGCGACGGTAGGGATAAGGCTGTATAACCACAAAGTCTGTGTGCATCGTGATCTTATGATCACGAAACTCGAGGTAGAAAATCATACGACCGTGAAGAAAGGAAAATGAGCCACTCGTTATCAGATTAGTTTGGTGACATTAGATTGAAGTAGATATTTGCATCGATCGGTGACAAGGATGATTATTTGACGAATACGGCAACAACAGGGTGTCGTGGATATTTTTATTGTACACCTTAGCGTGAGGAACATTGAAAAACTGAAACTCACAACTACGAGAAAAAAATGATCGACGACCAAATTCCTGATACTTGGCGTGGCGAACTGCCTAAGGCCTCATCGAAAAAAATATGGTACCGAGCTGCCCACCATAATCTCAGGTGTTGAAGCCAGTACTCCGGCCACTAAAGCCGCTTCCAAGGCTGTGACTAGTACTTCTTCTCTCGCACTTCGTGAAATGCTCCTAAACAACGAAGCGTCTCAAATAGCCTCCGCCGAGAAAGCCCTACTCATCAACTTCAAGAAGCAGCTATTTGCTCAGCGAAGTGGGAGGATTAAAAGTCAACAAACGGGGCTTTACCGGGTTGGTAAACTACTGGCAGTTCATCAAAGGGGAGATGGCTACGAACTCTCCTTCCAAACAAACTAAGAAGCGTAAGAAACATCTTCTTGGTTTTGTCACAGGGTACCGGTGTGACTGGGCATCTAAACGTACTGGGTGGGTACCTTGTGCTTTCGACCCCTTGCAAACGGTGCATGATCCGATGAACTGGACACCGGATCACAATGGATTTTTATTTTTACGCAGGACACCGCTGCCTGTGGGTCAGACCATGTTTATCCGGCTGTGAATTCCCTTTGAAAGTTCCCCTAGGTAACCTGACAATATTCCACTAGCGAAAAAATAATGGAATAATTTCATTGTTATAAAGATTGATGTGCCGTGATTTGCCTGGGAGACAGTCTGAGTTTAGATATATGTGTCATAGAACGATTGACTACCAACACTTTTGTAATAAAACAGTCATGGAACTCTATATCAGAACACAAATCCAACCTGTCAACACATCCCAATTCTATTTTTGTTAACCGATATCGATTATTAAGATTGCTATAAACATTTGCGAACTATTGGCAGTACAATCAAGTACCAGTTACTCTCATCAAACGCACACACACACTCACTTGATTGGCACCTCGACGAGGAGCGGTCAATCGCTGCAGGATCGCACTTAAACCCAAACTAAACCGGAATTGAATGTCTTCACGAAAATCGGCACATAAATTGCGACAGTCTACGTGAAATTCTGGAGTGAATGCATTGGGATCAATCAATTGGAAGATGCGACTTTTGTATGTTTCATCACTAACAATTTTGGCCAGACCATCTGGAATGGAAAAGACGCAATGTGCCAGGGGGGAATGGAAAAAGAAGTCATTTTAACATAACAAAATTATCACGCGTTGTATGCACTGTGGAAAGTGAACAATGACGCACGCAACGATTTATATGGGAACCTGAAATATACCGCTCTCGGATAGATTTTAAGTGGCTTCAGTCTCTTCCTGAACGCGGACCGTGCCGCTGTTTATTCAATAAATAAAATAGAAGGAAGAGATTATTGTAGTGCTTATTATTCTTGTTATCATTGCTATCATCGTTAATACGACACCATGGTTTGAAAGATTTGCCTACTGGGACAGGTACATGTGATACACACGTTACGCAAGAAATGACGATCAGTAGTCTTAAAGATGAAACGCACTGAGTTGAACGACCTCCCACATGCAAGGTGCAGCTGGCAAGGTTGAAGTTTTGCTACTTGAACAAATGCAAGGGAATCGGAACTATATTGCGATCTCACAGATAAAGCACAACTTCGGCACAAACTCATAGAGTGACAGGAACAGCTAGGCCGAGAACTGAAGGAAGAATGTCTACAACAAATAATATTGATGTCAAAGACTAAATGGTTTTCGTGAAACCAGCAACGCAAACATTCACCGTACCAATATGAGCTGAACCATACTTTAGATGAGTATAATCATCAATTGAACGCTAGTATTTCATCAGAAAAAATGTATGCTGAACGTATCAATTCGCAGACAGGCAGCTTGGATTTTGATCAAACAAATTAGAAATTTAACTCCCTCATCCACCATGCTACAAAAAATTGATACCGGTCGTTCGATTGATTCATTTAACATAGCATCCCCCCTTCCCCAATTCTACCGAGTATGGATGTTGATGAAACCAAATTCAGCAAAATGACCAACAAAAAATGTTCAAAAATGAAATCCTCGACCTTAGGTGGAAATCGTCAATTGTGAAGAGAGCATCAAACATTGTGCACGAAATACGGAGGCACACATGTCAAAGGATCTATGTGATTCGAAGAGAAACTAAACAAACTAAACATAAATCGTTAATGAAAGCGCTTCGGAAATGTGGACACAAATGATGAGGCGGATGACTATTCTATTTAAATAGCCTCTCAAAAATCGAGACTCCTACTGTACAACATTGTGTGATGAACAATACAAATGATCGACTGCATACTCACGAAAACTATTATTCAGGCATGAAAAGGAGGAACCCTGGCCTGAATTACTCAAGGGCGTACTAGGATAACCATGATATCCAGCTGGATGACAGTGGAGCTGCCGACCAGCAAAGTCACGTCTTGGGGGGGGGGAGGATCCGAACCGCAGAGCTTTGGGGCCTAATGCACGCCAGTGACATCGATTTGAACCGCTTGACCACCACCACCATCCTAATATCTCTAGGAATTTATTCAATATATATATATATATATATATATTTACCACCGGCTTGAAAACAAGCATGGTGCCAACGCAACAACAATGACAGTGAAGGGGATAGGTGGATTAGGATACAGAACATGGTGAAAAGTGGGCGAGACAGTTAAACATGGAAAATACAAGATAACAGAATTTTTTTGTGTGTGTTTCACCGTATGTGCTTTGCACCTTCCAAATGCAAAGTTCTTGTTCAAAACTGGCAGGAGCCTGTGCCTGCACTCACCCTCTGTGGTGCTCAGCTGGAAGTAGTTGAGAGCTTTAAG